TTCCCTGCATCCGCCTATGGCGAGAACTGTATGGTTACCAACCTTGCACAGAACTCCTCTTTATCATGCACTGTTTCACTAATCATTCCTTAATCCTCCCCACCCTTAACCCCAATGCCGCCCCATAGTGATTCTTCCGTGTTTTCTATGATGAGCACTGAGTTGAGCTGTTTTGATTCCGAGTTTCAGCCCTCTCTTTAAGTGTTTTTCGAAGGCTCCCTGTGCTCTCCTCTCAAGGTGCCCCCGGCTCAGACAAAAATCCTTCACTCGCAACACTGGCTGCAAAGATTCGTGATTTGCTTTGAACTCACTTGTTCTAAGAACAGCACCCCAGTACACTCACTTTAAGAGCAATACAATGCGCAAAGTTAATATATGCGTAAGCTGTGCATCGGATGCGGACTATAAACATCGGTCGAATGGCTGACGTACGCAAAACTGCAATGCTCCCCCTGCGGATGATGATGACTGACTTCGGCTGTGAAATGGGCGAATCAATTAGAGTGTGCCCGCAGAGAGTATCCCGGTTCCAGCCAGCAAACTCAAAAAAAAAAAACCGTCTATAAGCCACCATGAAACTAGGTAGAAAGAGCTAGTCACACTTAGATGACTCAAGAAAACTTGGCTTTTTCAATGGCAGAGCAATGGTTACTCGGGAACCAGGAAAGCTGGAAGGCTGAGATTTTAAAGGGACTTCCCTGTTCGATTAACGCATAGACAATTAACTTCTCGGACTTCAAGGAGCTATATTTCACGCATTTTTAGCTTCTGAGCGATCTCATTTACAGCATGAAATATTGCGCATGATCGCACGGGCCCGGTCGGTCAGCATCGCCAATGACTTGACCCCCAAGTTATCCGTCTCAGTCTGTTCCTAAAATTTTCAAAAAATCGAAACAAGCTGTTTTACGGTTCGTGGAACCATGTCACGGAGAATGTTCTCAAACCTGCTTCTGGATACCGTTGTTTTGGAAGTTGAATGTGAGGGCACAGACATTTGCAAGTAACATGCTTTTATTTACGCCAGTTATCTAAATAGATATGTATAAAAAGGTATGAATATCTCATGAAACTTCCTTCGATCGGCAAGCAAAACAGAACTAATCACTTTTATTTGCTTGCATTCACTGGTACAATTTTCGACAATACAAACACATACAAATTATAAACACACAAACGCGTACAGTGCAGAGCACTGGAAACAATACATACATTAAGACGCAAAAATCTGAACACACAAACTTGAAATATGCAAAAACCAATAAGCGAAACAATCGAATAAAAAACACATCTCATAAAGAATGCTTCTTCCCTCATAACAAACAACACCATCCACGAAAGCATCCCAAAACCCATCACAGACAGGCACTTATTTGCACTCATTGCCTCCTCTGCTTCTCCACACCGGTGCCCATCTCTCTTCCACGTCTCACAACAACACATGTTACACAAAATAAAATCAAACAACAAACTAGAAACAGAGAAATCTTATTTACAAACAAACCCTCTTTTCGCAACGTCGCTCAGCAAAAGTCCACAAATCCCTGAGCGCTGCCCTCCAGCAGCCAGTGCATAATTCTCCCAAGAGGTCGTTCTAAGGTGAGGCTACACCTCAAAATCAGTGCTTACTCGCATTGAACGAATCAGTTTTGAAATATAAATGGTTTGAATGAGCGGTAGAAGAGGAGAAAGGGGAGGCAACTCGCACCAGAAATATTTAAAAGGAAATTACTAAAGGCGAATTTGCACAGGAAGCCTACGAAGTTAATGGCACTTCTTGTTCACAGGGAGGCACTGATCATCGTGAACGTTTCAACTTGCAGCTGATAACGGCACAACTTTGGCAGTTTTAACCGGGAACAATTCACATAACACCATCACAGCGCATAAAAATAATTAGAAATGTTGAAAAATTAGGGAGGCAAGGGGGACCGAAGGAGGAGAGGGGCAGAGGGAAATGATTTCTGCATATGAACGAGAACACAAAATTTTCCACATTTTCAATAAATGCTCCATCGCTCTAATTGCGCTGATGCTTGCCGGTCAGAAATACAAGTGCGAGTGTCGCCTGTAGCAAAGAGATGTCGAAGACCCGCTTCTTTTGCTATCTATTATTTTCCCCCTATCACTTCTACAGGTCGCCAGCGACAGCACAAGGGTAAACCGTGTGCCGCGAAAGTCTTCGCAGCCTTCCGCTACAACAGTGAAACTGAACTTGGTACCCTCTCTTCGTGCCAGTCCCCTGCTAATGTCTTATGGAAAATCTCGGGAATCACTACCAATTTTTCAACGCAGTTAGCTACTTCTAGTGCACTTTTGGGACCCAGGAACCACAATTTCCACTGTTTTGGTAAAATTTCACATTAACTTCATTATTTTATCCCCTTAATTTGAAATTTGCTCTCTTTTCGTTTGAATTTCGTGCCCGACAAAAGTGTACATTTTTCACTAGTTTGAAGATTGTGGTGCCCCTTACTAAAGTAAAATGCAGTTAAGTCGATTAAAGCATGTAACAGACACATGTGGTCCAAACTATTCGCAGCAGAAAGAACAAACAAAAATAATAATAGTAAAAAAGTGAAACGAATTCCTTATCGAAGCTGGGAAAGTGTCAAAAACACAGCGAAAATGGCTGGAATAAATATATCACAAGGCTTTCGTGACGGTTGCTGCATGGATGCAGCGGCACATAATGAGGTGATGATGATAATGATGATGATGATGATAGTGGTGATGATAATAATGACGATCATAAAGGTGAAGCTGAAGGTGGCTGACAATACAATTCAGCAAGGAGTTGTGCTAATGCTGAACTGCTTTCCAGACGCGACAATGATAACCAACTAAGCAGACGCTCATGCCGGCGAAGAAGTCTACAACACAGTGAATTTGTTAATCCCCAAATTAGTTTAATTCGAAATTAGAAGGAATCAAGCAAAAAAAAGCCTAGAATTGTGAAAAATTTCAAAACAACAACATGCATTAAACGGATTCTCGAAATGAATTTTTTAGACTCCGGGCGAGTAAGCCAATCTCCGATTTGAAAATTCGCAGAGCTTTTTATGAGTTCAGAAGGGACAAGTGTCAGATGGTGCCACGTGACGGACAACTACTAAATAATTGTTATTTAATTAGATGGGTGATGGGACTCACCGTCTTCCATCACCGGAATACCGCGCCAAATTTCGAAGAATGAGACAGCTGGTTAACCGAATACTTTTAGTCACTGGTCCTTCAGGATCATCCTGCAACCCCATCAACACATTCAGCGCTTTACATCAGAGAAGTTTTGCGCTTCTCTTCCGAGCTACTTCTACACAAATTTGCGTTTGGAGAGTAACTGTAATATTCTCGATGCTCGAAACAATAAAACCCAACTACTGTTAAAGAGCAGGGTAACCAGTCCTCTGCAACTCGCCCATCTAATTCGACTGCAGATACGTAACAGTGCACGACAAAAAGTTAAACTTTCCATCAGTTCTGCTCCAAACAACCCTCAAAAGAAGACTTCAGCAGCTTAGCAGAAGAATGGTATTGTGGACACTCATAACTGCCTCAGTTATTTCTGAATGCCTCATCTCGCAAGCAGTGAATACGATGAGGGGCTTAATTTTAAGCAGTATATGTGAAAATCCACATTCATTTGAAAAGGAAGCGCACACCTACCGTAATATCACGAGGGAGATAATTAAAAGCATGCCGCCGAATAGCTTCAATAGCTGCATTTTTGGAATATCCGGGATGGGGGACCATTTCACGTGATCTCTCCGGATTTACTGGTTCCAGCGGCAAACTCTGACCTGCAAACGATCGTTCATCACTAAAGTAAACAAAACTAATCGCAAAAAATTTCATCAGTGCACATGTTTCACAAATTTTCCCATAATTACCAACGTGCTTTTTACTCAGTTACTGTTAATGACTGCTTTAAGTTCATATGTTACTGCTTTCAAGACGAATGATACTGAACTGGCAGCCACTAGCTTGCTTATCGTAACTTATCAAGAAAATTTGTTCTGAACCTTCTCTGCGTTTTTGGGCAGCAGCTATCAGTGCGGGTTCGCTACAGTGATGGTCCTGTAGATGCGTTACCATGGACCATTTTGCACGTACAGTAGCATCACAACGCGGCCAGCGGCACTGTACTTCGGCCTCGTCGAAGATGTGCTCTTTGGAGCAATGAAACAATATAGAAGCTGGTGACGAGAAGTACCTGAAATAAGTCAGATTTTAAGACGAGAACACAATGTGAAAACCCAGCTAGAAATAGGACGAAGACAAATAAGTCTGTCACAGCAATTGTAAAACAAAAAACTGCAGTTTAGTTCAGCGGGACCACCGAACAGAGCAGTCTAAGTATGAGAAATAATTTTCGCTTAATTCCTAGTTTGTCAGTAATTTAAGCAAAGAGTGAATTTACCTCCCACATCCATTCCACTCGCACTGAAAATCGAAATTACTGGCAGCGGATGTGGTTG